CCGGGCCCGGGCCCGAGCCGCAGCGGGAGGCCAGAGGGCTGTAGGCAGAGATGGCGGCCGCGGGGGCCGCGGCGGCCGCGGAAGGGATGGAGCCGCGGGCGCTGCAGTACGAGCAGACCCTGGTAAGCCCGAGACGAGCCCTCAGGAGTACGCTCCCGGACCGCTGCGCCGGGTTACCCTTCGAAGCGCGAGGCCCGGGGGCCTACCCTAAGCCCGCCCTCGCCTTCTGAGCTGGGGAAACTGAGGCTCGAGGGCCTGAGAGGCTGGAGGGCTAAAGGGTGGAAAGCTGCATGCAGCTGAGGCGACGGGGGGGGGAGGGGGGCTGCAGAGGACAAGGACTTCAGGTGCTTATCCCAGGTGTCCTTCCCTTTACCACACCTACATACACACGTTTTCTTTGCTCCTCCCCCTCACCACCTGGGCTGAGGTCTCAGCACCCCACTACCCCTCCCAGCACCACTCACACCCTTGAACTTTTTCTCTTTTCCCTCCCATTTCCACCATCCTAGACATTCCCTCTGTCCCACCAAGTGCGTGGCACTGCGCTGGAAGTAGAAACAAGAGTGTGTAGAAAGATGTTCAGACCCAAACCCAGACCCAGCCCTTCCGCTGGGGTGGGAGGTGGGGGGGGGGCTGGCAACCCAGCATTGGCAGGAACCTCCGGATTCTCTGGGGGAAGAGGTGGCCTGTCACCCCGGGGGGTTCGGGAGCTTTAGGGAGGATGTGTCAAGCAGGAATGGGTGTGGGAATTGGGACCTTTGTCCATGCTGACTCTGGGTATCCAGCCCCCACCCACCTCAGGGGTGTCCCTTAACCTCATTAGAAGCAGGGGTCCTGGGTCTGTGAGCTGACTCATGGCCACCATCGTAACTTAGTGTTTGAGAAGCCTTTTTTTTTTTTTGCCCCTTCTTGTGTCACTGGGCAGAGGACCCAAACTCGAGGGAAGGGAGTGGGCCCTGTGGCTCCTTTTCACCAGCTTGGGTTGGAATTTGCCCAGGAAGGAGGCAGGAAGGGAATGTCTCCAGGAGGAGGGGTCCTGGGCTGTAGCTGGGGCTGGGAGGTGTCCGTTATGAGAGAGAGAGACTGGATGAAACAGGATGACAGGGAGAGGTGGCAAGGGTGGGGGGTGGAGAAGGGAGAGGGGCAGGACTTGGTGTCCTGGTGCTACGCTAGCTGAGAATGGGGCTTGGGTCAAGGAAGCCAGGCACCTGACCTCCGAAATGGTGTCTCTCTGTTGCACCAGCCACATCTCCACCTCCTCCGCCTGGTCTCTATCTCTGGAATGAATCCTCAGGGTCACGCTCTCTCCCGAACACCCTCTGCTCCAGCCTCCCCCCCTTCTCCTTCTAATCCCTTTGTCTTTCTCTCACACACTCACCTCCCCCTCCTGCACTGTGTCCGCCTCTTTGTACTCTACTTCTTTCTCTCTTTTCCTCCTCCTTCCCCTCTCCTCTCCTCCTTTCTCTTCTCTGCCCCTTCCTCTGGCCTCTCCTTTCCCCTTTCTCCTCTCTCTGCCTCCCTCTCCTCCCTTTCTTCCCTATC